TGTGCTGTTCCATAGTTTAGTTAACCAGCTCCCCATTGGATATTTAGATTGTCCCTAATTCTTTGCTATTATCACCAATGCTTCAAAGAATTTCTTTGTTGCACAAACATCTTTGTACTCTATTTCTTTAGGACAACTTTTGGGTCAAAGGACAGTCACTTTTTTAAGGCTTCCAAAACATATTCCCAAAATGCCTGGCAGCCATGGCAGAACCAGGTGGCATGCCCAAAAAGAGAATCATGCTGTCCCTCAAATCTACTGGCACTTATGGCCAGCAGAGATAGGCGGGTTCCAAAGGTCACAAGTCACAGGTGAACTTATGGGGGGGGGGGTGGTTATCCATTCACACGCATCTCCTCCCCCACAGCTCTGGGGCCTTTATTGTGGAAGCAGTGTGTCACAGGTTGGGGCCTGCTGTGGGCATCTGTTAGTGTAGCCTGCTTGGCACCATCCCCTCTGGTCCTGGTGGCTTCCCTGATTTCCATCTGGGAAACCGCCCTGCTCCCATTTTGTGTAGTCCTTTTTTTGTTTCCATAAGAAACTCCATGCAAATGGATTGTTTGGGACTCGCGAACTTGTCTATCGAGGTGTGCAATTCTCCCCTGGGTGGGCCCAAGTTAGACCAACTTGATGCTGTCTTTCCCGGGAGTCTGAGTCTTCAGAAGGGCTGGGCGAGGACTATAATCAGCAGAGCTTGATCAGCCTACAAATACTGTCCAGAAGACCCTTCTCATTGGTTCCTGGGTCTCCAGAGCAGGTTTGTTTTCAAGCCTGGTTCTTTGGCTCTTCTGCCTTACTGTGAGGTACCTTACAGCCTCCCATATTCCTTCGTTACTGTTACTGCTGTAACTTTTGCCTCAGCCACAGTTGACTTCAGACGTTCTAAAACAATCCTACCTGATCCGGGGTGGGGAAAATGACTTCTTTATTTCCTGGAATAGTAAAAAATTTTCCCTTGTTCAATTTGAGGGGAAAAAACATTTCTTTCTCTCATAAAAGCCTCTCAACCTATCAATAACAGCCATTTTCAAATGACTTGGTATTTTATATATAACACCTACTAAAATTTATATTTTAAAGGAAAGGAAAGGAGGAAAAAAATCTCTGTTCTATAATAACTTTAACCAAAAAATAGCTTACCCTTTTGTCCACATGAAAAGGCACTGTTCTACTGATTTTCCTAACGCTACTGGAATTCACAGTAGGGCTACTTTTGAATCCTTTTTTCCAAGTGGATTTTACAAAGCAAACCTGAAGCAAGGGTACAGGATTTCCTTTGTACTCTTGCAGCAACCTGGAAAGAATTTGTCTTTTCTCCCATGCATCAAGGAGGGAATCAGCCCAAACACACTACTAGCAGCAGTTTCATGTTAGTCCTTTTGCCTTTACAAGGTTACTGGTACCCTTGGAAATCACAATTAACCAGAGTGCTCAAAGCCAGCAGCAGGGAAAAAGTACCGTATAGCCCACAGAGGCTTCCAGGAGCTTCTATGAAAGCGGAATACTATTACAGAATTCCCCATCGCCATTCTTTCCTCCCATAGAGGCTGGAAAGAAAACAGTCACTAAGAAATCACCTAAGACAGTGCCTTTCCTGTCCTTTGAGGGAGACTGCACAGGGGGCAAAGGCAACGCTGGCATTCCCACAGGACGAAGCTCCTGGGAAGTTAGGCATTATTGCATTTAAGTGACTTCTGCATGGTGATCGGAGCTATAGTCTTACGAAGACCTAGGATTAAGTGAGATAATGTACGCAAGGATGCAGTGTAAAGTGTGAAGCGTATTTAAACGCAAGGTGTCATTACAGCCTTGCCAGCCAGGCGCCCTTAACCTCGCTCTGGAGTCACTGGTAGAAAGTCGGGGTCGCAGCATCTCACAGCGCACTCAGAAAATGGGGCCAACCCAACATGCCCACAGCACCTCCTGGTGGTGCGTCCCCGGAGCAGCAACTGCTTAAAGCCCACACCCGACCCCGGCTGTAGAAAAGTACCCAAGCGTACTTACTCCCTTCGCTCTGGCTGTCTTTGTTCGAGTTGTAGACCTGGAAAATAGAAACAAAAATTTATCTGTGTGCACTTTATACCATGCTGCACGTTCACTGTAGAAAACCAGTACCTTGCCCCCTTTCCCTAGTTTGTGCTGTAAGAGGGAAGGCAATTTCTGGCCCCCAAATATGTACCCCTCCAATAATTATCTACTTCTCAGTATTGACTTTATCTGTTCTTAAGTATGCGTACACCAAAATCCTCTGTGAAACTTTACTGGGTAAAAATCATATTTCATCTTTTTAAAAAAAGCAAATAAACTTGTATGTGTACATGAACAAAATGGAGAAAATTTTAAAAATTAGTTACAAATCATTAAGCATTAACTGTGTACCAGGAAATGTACTAAGCAATTTACATGAATTATCTCAAATAATTTACACGATTCTATAGGGCAGGAGTTGTCATCATCTTTTTTTTTTTTTTTTGAGACAGTCTTGCTTTATCATCTCGGCTAGAGTGCAGTGGCATCATCATAGCTCACTGCAACCTCAAACTCTTGGACTCAAGCGATCCTCCTGCCTCAGCCTTCTGAGAAGCTGGGATTACAGGCATGCGCCACCATACCCAGCTAGTTTTTCTGTTGGTTTTGTAGAGAGA